TATGGATCTGGCACTCTTCTAGTTCCTCTCGTACGCTGTCCTTTCGAGAAAGACCAGAGCGGGATGGTAAACGTCGCATATTGCACGGCAGGGGGACCAGAGCCGGACGATGGGAACTCGGAGGACTACTAGACGCGACAGAATCGTGGGAACCAAGGCTGGACGGGTCGCAAGAGTTGGCGCAGGTCGATACGCGTCGACGGAGATTTTGCGCGCGTCGAGACTGGAGCTTTCTGCGGGACACAATGGCGACGTCGGGAACCGAAGATACTCTATGGGATTGTTGCGTGCGCCGTGGTGCCATACCAAAGTCGCGACTTGTCACGTCTACTCGTGTCCAGGACCGCAGTGGGCAGAGTCCAGGACTGTAAAGCTAGTATCGTCCAGCGAGAACAACGCAAAAGCCAATAGAGAGAATCTTGCCCAATCTGCTCAACGTCGGATTCGAGGTCGCCGAGGTGGTTCAGAACAAGAAAACACCAGCCAAAGAGCGACAAACACCCCGCCACAGTCGGGCGCTCACATCACACCCGTCGCGATCACGCCGAATTCACGTGCGCGTTGCACAGCACGACACGTTAAGTTTCAATTCTAAAAAACGACTATGGAATTCGCGAGCACAAAGCTATTCAACAGCTGTAAAAGCACCCGCAATAGCAAAGTGTAAATACGTATATATTCATGTCCTGAAAAGTTGAGCTCATCAATTATGATGACATAGGCGGTTATAGCTTAGCGACGATTTTGCGCAGCACGACTTTTTGTATCTTTCCCGTTGATGTTTTCTAGGAGCAGAACAGCATCAACCGCTACAGTGATGATGAGAAGCACAGGTATACGCACTGGCAACTCATCTACAATCTCGACCCACTCTGGACAGGCGAATCCTGGTAGTCGCGTCCGTGCATGCTTCTTCAGGTCATCGACGAATGCGTCATGGCGTCCTGACCACTTCGGAGCGCCCTGAGGTTGAAGAGTTACGAATGCCATGGGACGCTCACCCCAGCGCGCGTGCGGTCTAGCGACTACAGAGACTTCGAGAACGTCAGGATGAGTCGCAAGCTCTATAGCAGACCGGGTCAGACAGACTCCTATTTGAAGGGCCGGAATCAGTTGCAGACCTTGCTCAATAGCGAGACTTGAGGCGTTCTATAATATGTGATTAATTGCTTAATTTTGATAGTCTTGTGTGATCTGCACACCTCTCCACCAGATATTATGATATCCTTGCTCCTGTCACAGACTGCGATGTACCCGTCCGGATACACAACTGCTAAATCACCTGTCCAGAAATACCCTCCACGAAATGCCTTTTGTGTTGCCTCAAAATCCTTGAAGTACTATTGATTCATCGTCACAGAATCAGTATCTTACGCATAAAGCTTCGGTGGGGCCATTATCAAAGACATACCTCCCTCATCACAATGTTTCCTCGTATTACTATCTCACCTATTGTCTTTCCGTCCTTCGGCACGTCCACGAGGCAGGAATGCACATCGGTAGGGTCATCTGCCTCAGATCGGTACACGACACGGGCATCATCGGAGGTTGCAAAGCTTATGCCTTGTCGTGCGAGCTGCCGCGCACGTTTGTCCAGAGAAAGGCCTTCCCAAGATGATTGCTCGTAGCAGCGGGTGAATGGACCGTATGTCTGCGAGATGATGAGACTAGACGGAAAGACAACAACACCTCTTCAGAGCCTCACCTCACTTTGCCATTCATACGATCGATACTTAGCGTAACACGGTCGCACTGGGAGTAATGTGTACGTACGTTAAGCCATATACATGTACAGGCTGTATATTATTCTTCTCCAATTCACCAATCAAATGAGCAGTCGGAGCTGACCCAGCAATCACAGCGACCACTGGAGCTTTCAATGGTCTCGCTTCAGGCGCGTTTAACAAGCCGATCTAGAAAATGGGTATCAATCCTTGCGAGTAATACGCATGCGCAACAATATGTACCTGTACAGTTGGGGCACCACAATAATGAGTTATCCCTGAGTTCAAGAGATGGTTCCAAATGTGAGGATATGACACCGTTCTAAGCGTAATCTACATTCAGCGATGTATAATTAGAATTGAACACAGATTTTAAATGCAAATACTCCCCTGTAGTGCAGAGGCAAAGGTAATTGCCCATGGGAAGGTCCAGCCACATGCATGGAACATAGGTAGAATCCTTCCAAATTGATGTAAATCAGCTCCCGGATGAATCATCCATATGTCTGATAATCACCATAAATACGCTGAGTCTTTATCTAGTCTACGCAGCTGTCAATGAAACGGGCACCAGAACCGGAGTTTAACATTGTGATACCTTGTCTCGTAGGCGTTTGCAATAGCAGCAAGGTATGTTCCCCTTAATGTTGTAACCACACCTTTGGGCTATATGAAGGGTCAGCTACATGCCCACATACTCACAGAAGCATACGCACTCTACCTGTTGTCCCTGATCTGATCAGAGCTTGAGACCAAATCTGTTCACCAATATAATCGAGACTCACGTGTAGCAGAGTGCAGCGGGTGCATCCTCATTGCTCTCCCATGCTAGTCCCGCCCACCCTTTCTCCCTGCTGAACTTCCTTCCGTTGGTCAAGAAGTCTTCATACGGGTCACCCGCTCTCCCCGAGTCCTCCGAAACGATAATGGGTATCTGAGCGTTCTGAACGAGATGCACGAGCTCGCGGTCGACGAGAATCAACTTCGCCTCACTGTGCTCAATTATATACGCGACTTCCTGGGAAGTGAGACGCGTGTTGATCGGGCAAATGACAGCGCGAGCAGCAAGAACGCCGTGATGCGCATCTGGAGTCAAGATTTTCAGCATACCATCAAAAGAAAACCAAGAATGAAGAAAACTGGCCAGCTATTAACGGTCTACACAATGCTCAGCGTCAGACGTTTGACGTACAAGCCGGCAATTAACGCGTACTCACGAATTTGGCGCAAGGACCGCGACCCGATCTCCAGGTGAAATACCAGCTTGTATTAAAGCGTATGCTAGGTTTTGCACCCGCTGAGTCCTAAGGAACCCGATGAGCAGATATTTAGTGATGTGGGGTCACGCATACCATACGGCGTAGGAATAGAAGACTGGATGCGAGCGGTCTGGATGAGCTATCGCGAGTTTATCTGGATAGATCTGAGCAGCCTTGAGCAGAAATGCAAGGGGGTTCTGATGGCACATGTGTGAGAAACGAAGCGACTTGTATAAAGCCCGGGCAATGATCGTCACAGTACCAGTGGATGTTTGTACACAGGAATCCCTTGTGGCACCTGTAGTCTGTATAGTACGTCGTTTGGGGGAAAGCTTTCTTTCGTGGGGCGGAAAGACTTCATGATAGCTGCTACTGCAACCGGTCATATTGAAGATCGCCACTGGTGAGGACTCGAGCCTCCTACTAGGAGCAGTATCTGGACTCGTACCTGCCAATGTCATGTCTGGCTCTTGCTGTCTAATCTGTAAAGAGATAGCCAATGTCTCCAAGTTTTGCCGAGGGTCTCGCTGCACCAGCTTCAAAAGAGTTGCTGACAGCAGCACAATAGCACTCAAGTTGATATCTCTTTGCAGTTGCCGCTCAGCGAGTCTGCTTCGAGCACGTAACCCCGCATTTACCCCGCATTTGGATTCGGCAGACTCCGAGTCGCGTCGATTGGTCAAGTGTCGCGACAGATCACGTGCGAGAGAAATTGAATTTGTGCAGTTACTGAGTTACCCTGTAGACTCTTGAGTCTATGGTGTAGGAACCGAGCCTTCATGCGCATGCCGCAACCGGTTCGTAGAAAGCCAGGAGCAACTCCCGTAGACAATCTCAAAACAGGCACATCTGAACAGCGCTATAAGTTCGCTAATGCGGGGGATATTGAGCGTGGCCTCGAATCTCAGGACGAGGCGGGACTTGTTGCAGGTAAGCAATAGTGAAGTTACAGGCATCGTCTATGACCTTTAAACACCCTCCTTGCAGCCTTGACTGCTCTCCGTAACCAGCTTACTGTCAAACACGACGAATCTCCGCTATCTGCAAACGATGAACGTATATTGCTCGTGAAGTCATGGCTGGAGGTCTCGTCCGGAGCGAGGCGGATTTTTGATATATGGGAAAACGCAAGTCTGGTACGTAGACCCGCCCCATGATATTCGTTTTCTTTCCTCCCCGACAACTGATATCAATTGCAGCGGCAAATGTCCCTGACAGCGCTTCTAATCAACGTACTTTCTTCAGTCCTAACACTCTTGTCTTCGCATTATCTATATCATGGCCTGGCGCAACCAATTCTCAAAACGCTGCTATCGTCACAATGGTCGCAGCGACTCAATTCCTATCTGGGAGGCTCGCACAACGAGCTACTGCTTGTGACTCTGAAAATGTTCAACAGTATGTCTACTTTTGCCGGTGGCAGGGAGCGTCGGAACGTATTTGAGGTTTTTGCATGGGAAACGAAGGTGGGTTTAGTGATTGTGGAAAGTCGCGAGTCCAACGTCCCAGATTGATGTTTGTCTAGTCGCTTCTCAAGTTGCTGCATATGAGACGCAAAGGCAAGCCTGATTTTAGCGCCGATATCATCGCTCGTCCAGGTAGGTCTCAGTGCTAGTCTTGACATCTTTTGTCAATGCGCATTCTAATATTTTCTAGACATTCGAACTCTTTTTGTCCTATTCTTGCTATCGTTTGTCGACAATACTACAGCAAGCGCGACGAAAGCGGCCTTTCTCGAGCAACGCCGCGACACATTTGGCTCTCTATTCAAGGGGTTGTATCAAGACCAGCACGTACTTATTCGAAGAGTCCTTGAGGTGTGCTGGACTGGCATCTGGTTGGATCCGAAGGTGCCGCGGACAGCAAAAATTGCCTTGTTCAACGAGTCCGTACTAGCTCAGGTAATTCGTGTCTGAGTGACTTCTATTTTTCTATATTGATGACCGCCGAAGTTGACCAGAATATATGAACGTGCCGAAGCTGAGGACAACGATCCCGAGCATGTTCCTGCGGATGTAGTCCACCACTTCTTGCTTGCTATATGCACGCATCCAGGTATTGGAGTTTGCTTTAGGGATAAAGGCTGGTACCCTCGTGAGCTCGATACTAATGAAAACGTCCCTCGCCACGATGATGAGATGGTGGATAATGATACACCACGTAGATGCGGGAGAGTCCACAACAAGATTCTAGCCAATGTACTAAGGTCGCTGAAGGTCAACGAGGATTTACGACAGCAAGAACTCGCCCTGAAAATTTTGTCGTCATGTCCGGAGCTAGTGTCCGGGTAAGAACCTTCGACCACCGCCGTATTCTCATTTCACTGACTTCTTGATAGATATTGGTCCTCAGCCTCCCTAACATTGGAACCTCGCCTGTCCTCGAAATGGCTCACCAACATTGCATTCTTCGGATCTGTAATCTCTCTACCTGTTCCTGAGCCCAGCTTCCTGCTATCGGATGGCCGAGATCAAACTTCGTACCAACCTGTTCCACCGCCTCTCAACACTGTTGTCGAGAATATTCTCCCATCGGTGAACATCAAGACACACCTGTCTCGTGGATTACAGTCCTCATCGGGCCTCGTCAGGCATTGCAGTGCGCTGGCACTGGCCAAATGCCTATTAAAGTATCAAGCCGTCGTGGGCTCTCTTGAGGTGGTTGGAGAGGCTCTAGAAGAAGATGAAGAGGGGTTATGGCATACACGGCGTCGCGAACTTGAAAGAGAAGTTCGAAGAAGGGTACCCGATTTCCAAGTCATAGTGGCTTTTTCTCAGCGATCGAATGAAGCTGCAAGCACAACTCCGAGTGTCTCTAATTCGGATACACTCGAGAGCATCAAACTTCCAGCCAAGCAAGCGACCAACGATACCCAATCAGCACTACTTTCCGAGAGTGCACAGCGACTGTTGTGGCTGTATCACCGTTCATTGCCTATGCTTGTGGCAGAAGCGCGTTTCGATGTTGGTAAACTCTTGGCCGGGTTCCAGCACGGTAATTGGTCGATCAACGCCTCGGGTTCAAGCACAATACTGGGTTTTGATGCCCTCCGCCAGCTCCACACATTGAGGTTGTTGGGCGAGAGCGAACAATTCAACTGGGCTGGGAAAACAGGTTTGTCTGGCATTGGTTTTTTATGTAGCCTGAATGAACCATTTGGTTAGGTTCCTCGAGCAATTTTCATGTACTCTTGAGGTTGTACACAGTTTCCGAGAGTTCAGCCACTCGTGAAGCCATCTCGTCTCTCCTTCGACGCGTTCTCTCCCAGAGCCTTCTATTTCAACACCATGCGGATGAAGTCTCGATATGGCTGGAGTCTCTTCCGCACACAATTCGTTATACAGACGCTCGGGCTCCGGACGGGTCGTCGCTGACAGACGAGAAAAATGATGTGATCACATTCCTGGATGGCTGCGCTCAACGTTGTGCTAAAACGCCACATTTATATATCGAGGAGTTGGAAAATATCGTGCCAGAACTGATCGAAGGCGATGAAAACAGCTATGGTGAGACTATATCCCGTGGTTCCGACGACCCTCGTTACCTCCCAAGTCCGCTGGTGATGACCGTCTTGGAACAGCTCAATATCAAGATGAGAGGGAGGCTGTTGTCTGATTCTCACACGCTATCCATTGTGACTTTTGTGCGGATGCTTATCCAAAAGCTATCTAGCAAGGTGTTGAACTTGGGTATCCTGTCGCAAATTGCTGGGAGGGTCGTGACCATTGTGCGACCGCACTATGATTCCTGCCGAGATCAGTCCTTGCCTTCAGGCATAATGCGTGAGCTAGGATTGATGGGAGGAGCAGACCTCACGAGGCTCCAATCATACGCCGAAGACGCAATGGGCACTGGTGACGTCACTGTCGAGGAATTTCTTGCCAAAGTTGAGGACTTACCCACTTGTAGGTGATACTTGCATCGTGCTTGTTGCATCGCGTACTAATGGCAAACCTTGCAGCAGTAGAGCCAACAATGAGACTTACATTGGCATATCAACTTATTGATTGGTTTCGTCTAGTGGAGCTACCGATTCGCGCTGATATTACTAGGCTCTTTCTGACGTTGGAGAATTTGAGCAAAAGGGCTCTCGAAGACTTCATCCGATTTATAAAATTGGATCAACATTCAATCTGGATTTGCTGGAACAATGAAGTCCAGATCAAAGGGCTGATGACTGTGTGCGCAGCTTTCTGCGAAGATATATTACCATTGCTAATTCCATCCTGCAGATTTGACTTTGAAGTTTTGCTCTTCCACGCAAGCGCAGATGTCATCTCCGACTCGCAATCGCGCCAGATTTTAGCCGATTCTTTGACGCGTAAACAGCCTACTCTATTCGAAATGCAGCGAGCAGCAATGCTCGTCGTTCATAGGCTACCATCTCATGGCATAAGAGATCCGAGCTTCACGCCTTTGATGATGCTGCTAGCCTCTGTGATCTCTGCTGCGCGAGCGACACTAAACCGAAGCGATGTCGTGGACCTAATACGGTATGTTTTCCGTCTGGAGGCCGTGCGCGGCTACCTCACGGATCCCCTGCCCTCAGTCATAGAAGCAGGTATGATTATGCCATTTACTATTCAATTTCCAAAATCCTCAACATGAATGTGCAGGTCGAGAAATATTGATGACCACCTTCTCCAGTCCTTTGAGCGACATAGCCGATTTGCTCGCTGAATATAGCCATCAGTGGGCAATGAACATCAAGGAGCGTATGGGTGGTATGACTGATGGCCAAGTGCGTCAGGGTCTTCCAGCTTTTTGACGGTCATCTCACTCGTTTATGCAGAGCTTCCCGGCTGGGCTGTGGCTCAAATTCATGACGCAGGACGACCTACTCTCTCTTCTCGATCATTTAACACATGAAGTGGTTACTTCTCAATCCGACCCTCCCATTTTGCTAGTTGACGACCTTGTTAAAGCAATCATACCTCTGTCGTCATCCAGCCCTCGGCTATTGACATCTCGGCGATCCGGTATTCTAGCCCTGAGCTCCTCTTTTCCGCGTTCGCATCCTCTCCAGAAGGTTGTCGCCATCTCATGTCAGGGTATGCTCGCTCTCTGTCACGACGGGCTCCCAATGGGTCATATTCATGAGGGCAAGCTATTCAACGTGGTCGCCAAGGCCCAAGACCAATGGCCGCCGCTCGCTGCTGCTGGGCCCGACACAATTGATGTCCACGAATTCCTAGCTACGGAACGGTGGTCACATTCGACAGTGGACATCGTCACTGGGCAGTTATATATGCAATCGGGTGCTAGAGATGTAGTGATGAAGTGGCTCCATACTCAATCTCCGGCTGAATGTGCCCCTGATCATCTCGCACGGGTCATATACTGCCTCCTGGATGCTGGCAGCTCAGCTGAAGAGGGGGATGTAGAGTTCTTCGTACCGCACTTCTCTCGGATTATACGTGCTATTGCGCTAGGGAAGACGTCCAGTTATTCGATCCAGGGCAGCGCAAGCTGCACCGAGTGCGTTATTATCATGTTACGACAACTACCATCGATTCGGCCGTCACTACTTTCAGCTTTGCACAAAGAGTCCGAAGTATCGGGGAGGCGTCCTCTTTCACCACAAATTCTGGATCTGGTCGGGCAGCTGGCTCGGTTGAAGATACCTAGTGTTACTGAAACTATCGACAGCCTTGTGGATGCCGGACTTCGGTGGGCAGCTCCAGAGCTATCTGGAGGCAGCGATTTATCTGAGGAGCAAAGCGAAGTTTTACGCCAGCTTAGTGAGCTGTTTGTTTACTCCTTTCATAACGACAAGGTACTAAGCTATATATCTTGTTGCAGCGTTCCTTCTCCCGTATGCGTCGACGGTCAAAAGTCATCTTGCAGAACCTGTCGTGACGGCCATCATTGATGGACATCTGTCGCACTATGAGGTCCTATGTCTACTTCAAAAGCTCTTTGAAACCACTCGGATGAAAGTGAGTTGGTGTCCCATCCCCACCTAATTGGCATACGCTCAAATCTGTCAGCCTGCGACGGTGAATAGATTTTTACAAAACATCGTTCAACGACCCGACTTGTTCACCCTGTGTGCATTGATTACCTCGGATTCGAGTGCAACATCTCCGCGAGACGCTATCATCCTAGTCCTGCATACACTTTTCCATTTACATCCCACGAACACTTGCCAAGCTACACACGTTGAACCGTTGGTCAGACTGTATGCGGGCTCTTTGGCAGAAGCGGACCGCAAACTCCTTTCTATCTTCCAACTGTTCGAGACGACCAGGAAGGCATCTGTGGCCGGTTTCTTCAGCTACTGGTCGTCCACGCAAGGCATACGGTCCAGCAGTTCACTCGATGCCATCCAAAGCTTAGATCCGAGCCGCATTTTCAAGACGTGTCTCACTCTCCCCCGTATGCGACGTTCGCAAGACAGCATGTGGCAGGATCATGATTTGGATCGTCAGTTGTACGACCCGACGTTTGTTGTCCTACTGTTTGCCCAAATGCTTGCGGCCGAACCCCCCTCATCGGCCCTGGGTTGGGTGCAGACATTCAGGACCAACGTCGTCAGCTTGCTTATCTGCGAAATGTCCGCCAAGGACAATACGCGGAGGACGATGGCCATATCGCAGCTCGCGGCTCTGTACAAAAAGCTCCAGGTGCGTTCTCACGTTTGCACATTTTTTACTAGTCGACTGACGAGCAATGACGCCGCAGGAAGCTGATATCCAAGAGAAGTCTTTCGTGACCCACATCTTAGATCTTGTTCGTGACGCTCTCCCATCTCCGGGGGACGGTGACGCTCCGCGCCTCCCGGCATACACGACACTTCTCTTTGCACACGCCCTGCGCGGTGTCTTCTACCCCGCATACTTCATCTACCCGCTGACTGCACGCTTCCTCTTGCAACGCCCTGTCTTTGACACGGGGGACGTACCAATGCTGTTTGGAATGCTCTACAGCTCGTCAGATCAGTGGAAGAAAGAGCGTGCGTGGATGATACGGCTGCTGGCGGATGGGATGGTCGGAGGCGACGAGTGGCGAGTGCTGAAGAGGCGGCATACGTGGGACTTACTTGCAAGCTTATTGCAAAGCGAGAGCCGGGATGCCAATTTGCGACGCGGGATTCTCGAGGTGCGTGTCGGGTTTGCATCTGTGGCGTCATACGTCGTCCTGTTGACATGGTGAGGGATACAGTTCCTTGCGAACGTGACGTGTCATACACGCGCAACAACGTCTCTAATACTTAAATCGTCTTTGTTATCATGGATCGAGCTTCAGCTACGCGGCATACGCGACGGAGAGAGCTTAGCGTGGGCCAGGATCTTGGAGAACATCCTTGTCGTTGCAGACTTTGTCAAACTGGAGACGTCCACAAGTGGAGAATGGCGCTCCATCCTCGCTCGGTGTCTCATGAGCGTGTTGGACAGTGCAGGTGTGTTTATCCTCTGAGATTGATGATAATCATCACAAGAGCGTGTTGGTAACACAAATCCCGAATATAGACTGTAATACTGGTGGGTTTTGTTGCGTCGTGCAGGCCACCCTCCGGCTCAGCCTCCTCCCCGGTCGCCCTGTTACACGGCTACCATCGCTGCTCGCGCGCGCTCTTCGCTGGCTGAAGGCCGCCGAAGGTAGTCTGATCGTCCCCGTAATGAATCGCGTCACGCAGCGGGCTAATCAAATACCCCCCACGAAGCATCGGCTTCCTCCATACCACGCACACGTACTCTTCAGAGCGTCTCCAGCGGTCGAGTTGGCTGACTGGGGCGAGTGCACGGAGGCACTGTGGCGCATTGCAATGACGGCGGATGGTGGGCGTGAAATGCGCGAGGCGTGGGATGAGTTGACACCGCGGATGCTGGTATGGCGCTCGCTGGTGGGCCAGGCAGGCAGTGAAATGGGCGAATGGGTGAGGAAAGAGGTAGGGGGGAGCATTCTGACATGACCACGATCAGGCGTGTTCCTTATGAAATCCCGGGATCCCACAAGAAAGCACAGACGGAATTCTACAGACATGTCAGAGACTCCCTGGGATCCCGGAGAGTCTTGCTGTAGCAGGGTTTGTGGTCACTTAGAGAGCCCAGGTCTTATCGGTGTATCACTATTGGCACAGCCACTGCTGGGGTGAAATCAAAGTAGGAAAATCAGAAGTTAGATGCATGAAAACATACACTTACAGAAACTCGAATATGATTCGAAGTCGTGTGTGCAGGGATATGCTGTGACCAACTGATATTATGGTGCGGTATCTGTATAAACTACTTTTGTCCTGAAGAGGATCGGTAAAGTAAATTTGCGTGAATAGCGCTACATTCGTCATGACGAAGGAGAATCGTCGAGCACAACCTCCATTTCGTTGATGTCAGTGCCGCGCCCTCGGGTCGAAGCGGTGAAGACGTCTGCTCCAGAAGCGAGAGAGTCGATGAGCAGCGCAAGACGCGATGTGGACATGTTCGGCTCCTAAAGGCACGTTAGTCCATATGATGCAGACCCAGGAAAACAAACCCACTTTGCGAATCTCTTCGAGGTCATTTCTGAACGCATCCGCCACGGACGACATCCAGAATTTCCTGAAGCGATTTCTGAGGATTTGTTCAGACTGTTGGTCCGGAGCCTGCGAAGGAAGAAAAGCAGGAACGGCGGTGGGAGGAGGGGAGAGCGAGGGAGAGCGAGGCCGGGTATGTGCAAGGTGATGATCTATCTCTACTTCCTTGTGTATCTGAGGAGGGCGCGGGTCGTCATCCGAGTCATCGTCTGACGAAGAGTCGGAAGAGCTGGATGAAGATGCTGCAGGGACGGAGGGTTGAGGAGCAGGGGCTGCTGGCTTTGGTGCATCCGAGTCGGAATCATCTGAATCATCTGAGGACGAGGACGAGACAGCGCGCCGTTTTCGTTTTCTGTTGCGTTTTCGAGGTAGAGTCGGTTTTGCAGGCGGGGCCACCATCGTGCTCGTCGTCGCTGCGAGCGAGAGATGAGCAAGCAGCCTGAGACACGGGCCGATAAGATTAGATATGGCGCCCAAGACAGAGTTGTCCACGCCGAATCTAACTTTATTTTCTCCTCCTCCTAGCTGTACGGAAACAGTGGTCACGATGGATAAAGTAGTTGGGATATTAGGTGGGAGTGGGTCTTTGCTCTCACCCGTCGCCCGCTCGATGGTTTTGCTGATCGGATGTGCTTCAAAGCCCTCATATTTCTTTTCATCTTCATCCCGCTCAACTCCCCGGCTCTCGGAATGCAGGTGGCGGCCAGCTAGGTCGTATGCTAGCAGCTGCAGCGTCTCTACTCAACGTCGACGTCGTCATCCTCGATGCTGGTGACCACACGCCCGCGAAACAGCTCGTTGCTCCTCGGCGTCCAGGTCTGTCTCATGTGGACGGATCCTTCGCGGATCCTGTGAAGATCCGCGAGCTCGCTGCAAAGGTCGACGTGCTCACTGTAGAGATCGAGCACGTCGACGCCGCTGTGCTTGACGAGGTGCAGGGCACACTACCTCTCGGGGTGCATCCAAGTCCGTCTACTATCCGGATCATTCAAGATAAATTCATACAAAAAGAACACCTCTCCGCACACGCCCTCCCCGTCTCGGAGTTTATTCGTGTAGACTCAACTCCTGAGGCAGTCCGGGTAGCCATCGACAAGCTCGGACTGCCTCTCATGCTCAAAAGCCGGACTCTCGCGTACGACGGACGGGGCAACTTTGTGATCCGTGAGCCGGAACAGATTGACGCGGCATTGTCTTTCCTTGGGGACAGACCATTGTATGCGGAAAGATGGGTACCGTTTGTCAAAGAGATTGCGGTCATGGTCGTCCGTTCCGCCACCGGCGAAGTCTGCTCCTACCCGGCGGTCGAGACGGTGCACAAAGAAAATATATGTCACTTGGTATTTGCACCTCTACGTAGCCCCGACCCTGCGGTCCTATGTCGCGTCCGAACTGTTGCGGAGAAGGCTGTCCACACTTTCCAAGGAGCTGGTGTTTTTGGTGTCGAAATGTTCCTCGTAGAAGACGGCTCTGTATACTTGAACGAGATCGCGCCGCGACCTCACAACTCTGGCCACTATACTATCGAAGCATGTGAGACATCACAGTATGAAAATCACCTCCGTGCCATCCTCTCCCTCCCTCTGGGCTCTACCGCACTCAAAGTCCCCTCCGCCATCATGCTTAACATCATCGGCGCATCCAACGACATGCACGAGGTCACTGCCCTTGCGAATCACGCCCTCGCCGTACCCGGAGCTCGTGTGCACCTCTACGGCAAGTCCGACTGTCGCAAGGGCCGCAAGATGGGACACATCACCCTCGTTGCCGGCTCAGACGCTGAAGCGCGACACAGATTGCGTCCCCTCCTCGAACGTCTCCCTTCTATCTCCTCTCCCCCATCCCCCAGCGATCTGGCCGAAATCAATATGTACGCGCCAGTCCCGCCAATGCCAGGCGCGGGCCTCGCGCACCGCCAGCCGCTCGTAGGAATCATCATGGGTAGCGACTCGGACCTGCCCGTGATGCTCCCCGCAGCACGCATCCTCGACCGTTTCGCCGTGCCGTACGAGCTCACGATTGTCTCTGCGCATCGCACACCGGACCGCCTCGTCACATATGCACGCGCTGCCGCCTCTCGTGGGCTTCGTGTCGTCGTCGCCGGTGCGGGCGGCGCCGCGCATTTACCTGGGATGGTCGCAGCGCTGACGGCCCTACCTGTGATCGGCGTGCCAGTGAAGGGTAGCTCCCTAGATGGGGTCGATTCGTTGCACAGTATTGTGCAGATGCCGGTATGTGCTTTCGTATGGTGCTGCACGCCATGTGATTACTAATGCACTCTTCAATATTGGCAGAGGGGCATTCCCGTCGCGACTGTGGCCATCAACAACGGAATGAACGCCGGGCTGTTAGCAGTGCGGGTTCTTGCCGTAGGTATGCCCGAGTTGGTCGATGCGATGGACGCATATTTGAAGGGTCTAGAAAACGAAGTACTCGCGAAAGTGAATGAATTGGAAACAGTCGGGTGGGAGAAGTATATTGTGAAGAAGTCATAGTATATTTTGAAGCAAGAGTAAACGTCATCATAAGTGTTCGATGTTGGGCTGTACTTGCTTGGCTGTAGGGGGGAATAAGCGACGAATCAACAAACGAGTTAAAGCAGTTGGTGGCATCGCCTAATGTAGACCAACTCTTTTTCTCAGAAGGCCATCCGAACTTGCAGGACGGCCTAGATAATTGCGAATACATTTCAAATACAAATGATAAATTGAACTTGGTGACGGCTCCTATAAAAAATTTCACTTGCTCATACCAATCGAAATCAAATTATATAATGAAGGATCAGAGGCTCACACATACCTCTAAAGAAAGTCCCTCCGAAGGATATTGAAGGCAAGAGCGAGGGACCGAGATCTCGAGCTAACCCATGAAAACCCGATAGCGACGTCTATTGATCAAATATTCGCATCTGACGCGTGAGATGCGCAAGAAAGATTTCGCCATATACAGTACACGACATACAACGTACGAGGAGCAACTGCGTAAACCTGATGTCACCGGTTCCCTCCGGTAGCAAGGTCTGTGATTGAGAAACGATCAGAACGGGGAAATCGCGCCAATACTACCAATGAACGTACAACGATTCAAAGCTCTAGGCGAAAAACGCATCGTCAATCGTCATGGACGACTCGAAAGCAACGGAAGTCGTGTAATCCTCTATTCGCTCTCCTATTTCTTTCGATATAGGCGTCGGGAAGCGTCCACCATCGCCTGTGGTAATACGCCACCAGAAAACATGTCTTTTCGACTCAACGAGGCCACATTCCGATGAGCCGATTTCAAATGCTAGATATTGGAGACTTGGGATTGACCAGGAGATCCAAGAAGAATATTTGTCCGCATCCGTCTGTACTTCCTCTCTTTCTTGAGCAGGAAAAGCTTCAATAATGCGAACGCGGATCAGAATTAAGTGTGATTTTTCGAGCACAGGAAGGATGACATCCTCAATACAGGCCGTCAGTCTTGACTCGAGGACGAGGTTGATCCGAGACTTACTATCCACATCCACAGAGCGCGCAGACCGAAAAAGTCGAGATGAAGAACCCTCAGGCGGGGGTTACCCTCGATAACGTCCGTCCAAACCTCAACAAACGTCTCCGTGATTGTCAACGAAAGAACGATCGGGTTCGTGTTTCGAATTCCAATGCAGGCATATTCTATCTCGTCGGCATAGATAGCACTGTGGTACACCAAAGAAATGACAGGACTCGAGATTCTCCACTGGTTCAAGTCCCGCGGACTTTCTACAGACAAATTGTCAAGACGAGGCCAACAGTCAGTGATTGCTTCCGTGTGGCTCGTTTGTGTCAGCCAGACATTGCCTAGGCACAGACTTCGAAGGTTTGGGAATATCTGGACAAGACTGGATACCACCCCAGAGCAAGAATACAGTCGTAAATCTTGCACGCTTGGGAAGCATGCATGTGCATCAGACTTCGTCGGCACTGGGATCTTCGCAGAGTGCAAATTAAGGTATTGCAGATTTTGAAGGTTGCCGAGCCGCGTGAGCAGCGTGAGAGGAGCCGACGTGAATGAGCAATGAAAGAGAAGATGCCTCGGCGAGCTGCGCATACGGGTGATTACGTCGGCCGACCGATCCCCTCCAAAGATAAATTCAACGGTATCAAGTTTACGCAGAGATGTTATAGTATCTTGAAGTTGAGGGGCATTTGTCAGTAGCCCCTCAGTGTGCATTATTTTCAGAGACCTCAGATTATGGGAGGCTCCTAAAACAGCAGAGAGCGCAGGATAATTATTTGATGAATCGCTGGAGATGTTGTTTACCGATATATGGAGTTCTCGAAGATATGACAGTCGCCCATAGATATCTGAGAGCATGTGAGCACAAAATCGTGCCAGCTGCGTATGATCATGTATGACAGCGCTACGGATAGTATGACGCATAGCAATGAAGTGAATTCCTTTGCACGTCGCGGCCAGGCTTAAAGCATCTCTGGAGGGAAGGTAGGATGCGATGGTATCGAGAACGTCGGCATTGAGGTCTAGAAATTTCATGCCGACAAGAGCTTGAAAATAGTGATGGGTATAAATTCCAAAATACACTTCAAGCATACTACTCACAATGCCACCTTCGTCGACCAAGACTACTGGTAGATTCGATCGCAAGATGACGAAATTGAAGTTCGACGATTCTGTAATCGTGTTTCCGAGAGTCTCTGTAAGAAGGCAAGCGCGACGAAAGAAACGAAAGAAACGACAGCCGGAGGCTAAATGATCGTAAGGACTATTGGTTCAGTCTCAAGTCTCAGCGTTCAAACGTTCAATTTTAATCACTCGGAGAGGCTGTGGTACTGCCAGTGGCCCCTTGGCACGCGCTTAGAGCTTCGGAAACTAGAACGGCTCATGTAATCAAATGTTGGCGCTGGACGCGCATTTGGCAAGGAAATGCTTCCGCTTTGGAGGCCGGCCCGAGCCACCTCGGCTCTTTGTGCACACAAGCATTATATTTTTATTTGTATGCATGAAAAATTGAGATCTCCGCAGGAAAATCAACACGACACAGTGTGTGGCATATCCGCGAGACTGAAATTTTAACGTGTAGGAAAGATGGAGTTTAATGCGATACATTAGAAACATACATTCGTCGGCGGGGAATATATATCAGTAAGTAGCTATCACCTTGCTCGAGTGCCGACTATACTGACTTAACTCAGTCGTTGAATTCGAAAAGCGACTCTGAGAGACAATTGAAACCCAACCCTAAGTGTGAGTTTTAAAACTAGCCACGACAGTACATAACCACATACCATCGAATGCCATAGATGTTTCGAAAACTTCAGACGACAGATAATTTTTCACGCGTATCCCCACCGCTGGCGATATCGGCCTGCGTTCTCTTTCCCCGTTATCTTTGGTGATGATTTGCCACCAACGCATGATTGACGGATCCACGCCGAAGGCCAGACAACGAAGGGAAGGCAACGACTGCACAATCTCATCGGGGAATGTCTCTGCTATAGTGGGTTCTGGGTGATAGAGCCCGTAAACACAGATACGGAGAAAGATAATCTTCAACCTCTTGAGAACCGGTAGCACATATTCCTGCACAAGTAAGTTCAGCACAAGCAGATCAGCGGCATAGGACACGACTATTCACCATCCAGATCGGCATATTGAAATTCGCGTCGAGGTTGGCAAATCCCTCACGCTCAACGAGGCAGAGAGAAAGCGACCTGAGTCGTTGACGGTCTTGCACCAGCTCCGCCCAGCAGTTCGTGAGGGCATCTTTCATAGTCAGCGAGAGGGCGATAGGCTTCATCCTTCTGATTTGCGAGAACGTAATCTCCGAGTCGTGTGTGGTATTGATGAGAGCCCTATACGACACCGAACGCACCGGACAAGTAATCGGCCATCCAATAAGATCTTCAGCGGATTCCGCAGTGAGTTCGTCCAGGCTCGGCCAGCAGTGATCCACATTAGGCATCTCGTGCCATCGTAGGATCCCGTCCAGATGGATAGTCCGAAGGTTGGGAAATGAATGCACAATAAGTGTCATCGGAGCCTTGCAAGACTCCAGGCGCAACGTACGCATGCCCTTCCAGATCAGCTGCGGATGCAGCTTCTCTTCGAATCGCATCCCATTTATCTCCAGGGATCGCAGGCTCCGAATGTGCCCGATGTGGGGGAGCAGCCGCCGATTGCTGATCGTAAACGATGAAGGGCATCGCACGACCAGTTTGTCGAGTCGGCTTCGCACCTTGGAGAGCATTTTGATACTGTCGCAACCCGCATGGTGCAACTCGAGCACCACAAGATTGTTCATGTCGCCCACAGCTCTGGCAACTACAGGCGCATTCTCGATCAAGATCTCGGTCAGACGCAGGACGAGGATCCGCAAATTCTGCGATCGTCGTAGGACGCGTGCAAGAATAAGGGATGCACTGTCAAATTCGCCTTCTCTCGAAGTGTCGATTAGAGACACGTGAAGCTCGCGCAAATATGTCGAGCGGTCCGAGATCTTGGAGAGCACGCATGCACCAAATGACATGAACCTCCCGTTGTTGTTGAGTATAGACACGCGGGCGAGTGCTTTGCGAGCGCCTATATCATGCACTCTTCGACAAGTGCTCGACAGATAGAGGGCGTCCTCGGCTGAAAGGTAGGACACGATGGCGTCAAGGACATCATCGTTGAGATCTAGGAAGTTCATTGGATCTAGTGCTGATGCACGTTAGCTGCTCGATTGCGTTCGTAGGTATGCACAAAGTCACTTACGATGAGTTGATACAGTTTCGGCAAAACATTTACTTGGTATTGAATGCTATACAGAAGATAACTGGCACGGCTGTTGACCATCCGCTAGAAAATATGGCAGAGACTCTGCACAGTGCACGAGTCACCACTAGGAGTCGCCAAATAGCATTTTAGTAAGCAAGTCTGTAGAAAGAGCCGGGAATGTAATCAACGAACTCACATATAACAATAAGAAGAGGGGATCGATAACGCACTGAGTTGGCAAAAGCTTCAAGTTGGGGGCAACACGCTAGTAGCCACCCAGGTCGATCAGTCGACCCAGAAAAGGAAACCGCTCAAGTTCAACGTTGATCACTGAAAGAAAGCCCCTTGTCGAAAATAAACATACCGCGCTTGAATGAACTACGCCATATCACGGACGAAAATAGACCGCATCTCATGAGAACAGATTCGAGTATCATATTCCTAACTTCACCCTAGTCGCAGCACGCCAAAAAAAAAGTCGGAATAATAATTGCGATCCTGACCTTGTTTACCCTCATGCATCCAATATGCAATTAGAAGTGCACATGACAATTCAGTCGAATATGTATTCAATGGCGCGGAATTCTATTGCATGCGTACTGTGCTACAAGAGATCGATACAACGATAATGCGATGATAAATAGTTCTTAATGGATGCATTAGCCACCATTATATAGCAAATTACCAATTATAAGATAGTGTTATGCCCCCGTGACGCTATTAGAAGTAGATGAATCCTCAATTTTGTTCTGTCTTTGCGTCTGCAAAGAACTCCACCAGCGTCTGGCCAAGGATCGCCAGACCATCTTCCATGGCCTCTTCCGTCCCAGCAAATGTCAATCGGAAGTAGTTCAATCGCTACACAAGAAGTCTAAGTCAGCTATCCACATTCCAAGACCCATCATCAGTCAACTCACATCATCAATTGGGTCTTGCGCATCGGCATACTTCGCGTCCGTCTCCAGCATGAACACCGACGCGGGCATCACAAGCAGCCCCGCCTCTACACACCGCTCAAACACTTCCTCCATCAGCTCCTTGCAATTCGTGCGCGCGCCCGTCACGCTGCGGACCTTCTGATACCGCGCATGACGCTCGACGTGAATCCGCGCCCAGATGAACATCCCAGCCTCGCATGGGCCCGCGCTCGCCAACCCCGTCACGCCCACCTCCCGCGCAAACAAGTCCAAGAAGAAGTCTCGCCGCCGTTGGTACTCATCCCGCAGCGACCGCACCCATGCATCAAACCCGGTAACACCCCACCCATCGGGCCCAAGCAGCTCGGCGAGGAAGATCTGCCCGAACGCGTGCGCGTGCTGCGTCGAGGAGTCAGTGAGCGAGATCAGGTGCTCGTGGAAGAGGGAGTTTGAGGTGATCCATCCGAGGCGTGTGCCTGGAGCGACAACCTTGCTGAGCGAGTCGACGCGCATCACACGTCCGTCGACGTCCATGGAGAGGAAGGACGGCGTGAGCGCTTGGGTGGACGATTGAGATGTGTACTGGAGAAAGTAGTATGGGTCTGGAGAGAGACACGATGAGAACGCGCATACATGCATGACAAGACGCTTGGACTCACCATCTTCGATGATCATGATGTCGAATCGCTGCGCCAGCTCGTATATCTGCCTCCTCCGCTCCATCGTCAGCGTCGATCCGGATGGATTTTGTCCACATCTGCAATCGAGGTTAGAAAACGGCCATTAATTTGCTGCTCCCCATAGTACTCACGGCACTGTGTACAGCACGTGCGGTCTCGGTCCCCGCCTATCATCCCAGTTCTCCATAAGCCGCTCGAGCTCCTCCGGGATCAGTCCTCCATCGTCAATTTTCACGGGCACCCATTTGATCCCCTGCGGTAGCGCCGCATTCGTCAGCGAGCTGAACGAAAACTCGTCGGCGAGGAAATGGTCTCCGGGGCTCCCCAGCAGCCTAAAGCACTTTGTGACGCCGTCCCCGTTGCCGATTGTCAGGGTGCAGACGTGATCGTGTGGCTTGTGGTAGAACTCGGTGAGCTCCGTGATCGCGCGCTGTGTCTCAACCAGCCCCGCTCCGTTCGTGTACTGCATTGCAGACTTGACAGGCAGGACGCGGTCCGACGCAATTGTCTGCGAGCGCGCGGCGGGTCCCGCTCTGCGCCAGGTCCCGACGGGGTCTTTCTCGGCAACAGATGCGACTTGATATGATATGCGCCTGATGGGGTACAGAGATGAGTGTGGGTCGCCTGCGGTGCGTCCAGATGAGTATTGACAGCAGGACGACTGTGAATGATTCGTACCGTTTGCGAGCGACACCATGTTGGGCTTTCTTCTCGCTAATCTTGCAATGGCCTTCATCGGATTAGGCTTGCGAGCGCGGGCCTCTATAGAGAGGTGGTGAGACAGGTCGATCTGAGTGCTGGTGGATGCCATGGAGAATGATGATGTTCGTGGAGGATGCAGGATGGCAGGTAATATATGTGAGGAAGGGAGGGGAAGATGCGCTGAGAGGACCAGTGGAAGCTGGGAAGATGAGGGGAGACGGCGGGCAGTAGCTGTGCTTTATACCTGTCGGCCTGGGGATGGGATGGCAGCCAAAGATTGATGATGGCATGTCGAGCGTCCATGCACGGTGCGTCCGAGCCCTCCGCGGTGGATGCATAGCCTGACTCCGCGTGCTGAGGACTCACGCTGCTGCCGGAGAAGAGAAGAGGGAGGAGGATCAACTTAGTTGGGCGTGCCTGCCTAGACACCTTTGGCCAGACGCCCGACACGCGGCAGCCTGCAAAACAAACGCCGACGGCTCGTAGTCAGCGCTACCACTTGCGAGAAACGATCTCCGGAGCGCACCGTCGCTGTGTTGCAATTCCTCTGTTCATGAGCGATGAGATTTTAGAGACCACAGTCGTGTCGTATATTTACTGGTGAACCTCGTGCGGCCACCGTCTGAGCACCGAGTCAGATAGGTTTCGGCGACCGAACGGCGATGGGGAAAGGGAGACAGGAAGGCGGTGGGCGAGCGAGGGCCACTGATCCGTTCGTTGCTTGCAAAATCTTACCTGCATCGCCCGATCGAACAGACGCCCATATCATCTCCCTCACACGCTCGAAGATCTCTTCGACTGGGTCCATCCTGACTCGAACGCCGCGACAATCGCCTCAATAATCAAACACTCAGACCGTCCCCCTCACAGGCTCGGTCCTTAGCATGTTCAAGTTTCGATGAACGGACCGATATTAAATGTTGCTGTATCCAACAGCGTTTTCCCCGTCCGAGCCTGCACGGAGGCTCATTCGGCAGCGATGAGTCTCCCGCTCACAGCCACGGTGTCTCTTCGATGAATTTCTTCATTCATATGGCGTCCCAATCCATCCGCTTGCACAGCTCTCCCGGCGAGGGCAACGGATCTCCTCCGAGCTCCTCGCGCTCATCTCACACCAGTGACACCACCATCCAGGCAGCAGCAATGCATCAGACCGTGGTGGAGGCGCAAAGCAGTCACCTGCCGAGGTCTGATGAGTCTCTCTGGTTTTCATTCACCGTGGCTTACACGTATCCACACCGTCGCGGACTCGGCGCGAATCGCACAAGGACAGAGTCGCAGCGATTACTAATATCTCTGGGCATGTACATCATCCCTTGGTGGCAACCACGAAATGATAACACGAAAGTACCCACAAGTTTCTGTTCGCCAGTCCGAGGATGACGGTCGCCGCTGGACGACCGTCCACATCCCGCCGCGTCCACCGCTCACAGGATATTGTTCCGCATCCACTTATTCCTGCACCGTGCCGAGCACCCATCCGGCCTCCTCACACTTCACGCACTATTCCTTTTCGAGATGTCACTACTTTCTACGCCGCACAAATCCCCGGAAGCTCAGACAGGCTATTCCTACATCTCCTTCTTATGAACCTGCTTCGTGCGAGCCTGGAGCGGGGGAATATCTGCCTGTCGATTGGTCCATGGATTGTGGTAGGCGTCCAAGCCCGAACTACGAGTATACATACCTAATCCTTATGCGATTTTGTCCGCGGATCGACGAATTTGCTCCCGCGGGACGACGCGGGCCACACGCCTTACTCCAGTCCGCCTTCCAAACCCGACATGCGATCGTCGTGCGCGCTGCCGACGGTCCACTCCAAGCCTTCGACGCGGGAGGCGAAGTGAATCCTAGCGATCACAGTCCGAAGCCCCAAGCCTCGAGGCGCACCCGGGCCCCCCGCGCGCCCACCGGCGAGTCTCTGCGGTACAGCACTTCGCGCTCGCCGGTTCCTGGTCTGTCTGTGTCATGCACGACGTCTTTGCAGCGTTCTTTCTCCAGATGCTCTACAAACATACGAGCCGGGTCTGGCCAAGACCACTGCTGCCACTCCGCATCTATCATGGCCCCAGGGACGAGTCGAGACCGTACCAGTAATTGCACACCAGCGAACCCCACATATACGTCACCGGCCTCCCCGCTCTCTGCACATTGTATGCCGAACGCTGGACGCGCGTTCGGGGCCGCTTCTCCCGGGTGCCTCCCCTCCCGGCCCGCGTCCACGTCGAACCCCACCATCCTCAATTACATGTGCGAAGTCGAACGCGAGAACCCCGCATCGCACGTCTGCAGGGTCCAGGGACTTGCGCCCGCACCGATCGTGTTTGGTGTTAGACACTGCTACTGACGTCCATTTCCATGCGATCTGCGTCTGCCATCCCGTCCCTCGTGCTTGACGCTACTGGTACTGGGTGTCTGCCAGCTTCACTCGCGGCGTCATTCCATGCGGTGACCTTCAAATGTATCCATTGCTATTGTACACCTACTACTGTACACATTTTTCCATTATGATTCGTCCGAGACTCTGATGCAGAAAATGTATGCGTGTTGGAGAGAGCGCGCGGAGGCCAAAAAAACAACACATCGACGAAAACGAAGGACGAGCAGCTGTGAGGCAAAGTCTATGGTGGCAAATGAGGGAGGGATATCGCTGTTTGGTGGAGATTGGAGACATAATAATGATACTGTAACTAGCAATCGAAGTGAAGCTCGCCGAGCAGAAGAATGACGAGATTGATGAGCTCGAGGCGAGTGAGGATGCGCGAATACGGAGTGGCGTATGATCTTGATCATGAAGAGGCCTTGCGGCGGAGGCTATCCCGCAGATGCGCCATGCTGCGTGATGCCCGCCGGCGGATGTTTGCGAGGGGGCCTTTCTTCTGACTCGAGCCATAGACATAGCGTGCAACGGAGAACATGCGCTCACGGAGGTCATCTAGGAGCAGAGAGCATACTGGAAGCGGGGGTCAGCCGAAGACTAAGACATGGAGATGTGGACGCACCGAGCATTTCTACTACCTCATCTGACGGCAGAGATCCGAGCTCCAAGTAATCGTCCCCCTCGCCGGTCGCTGGGCAGGGAACCAAGGTGCTGGGTGCGCCTTCGGCTGGGACGCAGTTCTTATGCAGAGCGCCAATTTCCTCTTCGTCATCGTCGAGGAGCTGCCATTGAGTATGGCTTGAGTGCCAATGATCAAGAAAAGAGCGGGGTGGACATACAGTTAAACTGTCCGCCGTCAACCGCCATACGTACTCCAACCGTGTAGGAAGCAGGGTCTCATCTGGGCTGCAGCGTCCATCGGCGTATCAGACATTTCATCTCGTATACGATTGAACGCTGACACGCACTATATCTTCACGAACGCGGCATCAAACAGTTCTGCAGCACCATTGACGATATCGTCGCCGACGCGTATCAGCGATGCAGACCGGCCCTGCCATGTGATCTCTGCGACAATGTTCTCATCCCCATCTCGCACGATCGTCGTAGAGCGGTCGTCTGAATACATGGGCAGTGGATCCTGCGACGTCGAGGAGCTGGCTGTGCTAGTAGAGGACCATGAGCCCGTGCGAGGGCGCTGAGGGCGTTCGGTAGTGGTGCGAAAGGCGACGGTGCCTGTCGCGCAGTCGATAAGGGACGTCTGGCAGATATCGGAAGTGGAGAATTTGAGCAACATCTCGGATGATGTCGAAGGCTGGAGGGCAGAATGATCAAAGGGGAGTTCGGACGTCCCGTGCAGCAGCGATTATATAGGGCACGTCGGCGATGAAACGCTGGCAGCGAGCGCACGCTAAGCGAGCGAGGGGAAGGATTCTGGGGGGGGG